CTCCTACCTACTACACACGCAAATTGCAGTTTATAGCAGCATTCCCTGTGCCCGGGCACTGTTAACTCCTTAGCTAATAAACTAAACAGCTTTTGGATGTCACCCGAGCAGTGCTTGGTTAAGAAAGAGTGTAGGTTGAAGTTAGAAGATCATGTGAGCAGTCAGAGAGATGTGGTGGTTTACACTTCTCTTGTTGAGCTAGATGAATTAGCGTTTCAGCTGTAACAGATGCGTCCTCAGGCTACAATGCTTGACCTGTTTATATAACTATGTCAGCTCTTTTAAACATATTTAGTAATAAAATGTCAAATGTACCAATTGGTAAATCCCCCATGGATAAGATTATGAAAAATGATCATTGCAATTTTACTTTTTCCTCTTAAAAAGTCAATTTGCAAACTGTAATTGAAAGCTTAACACATATAATGGGTGGGGAAAAAGATCACTGCAATTTTACCTTTTCCTATTAAGAACTCAATTTGTAATTGAAAGCTTTACATACTATGGGAGTGAATTTCGTGGGTACCTGGATTGCTGCCACCTTGGACAAGAGATCTTTACATTGATCAAGTGAAGCATGCTCTTGGGCAGCTGTATTAGACAGCTCATACACCAATGAATTTGCCTGTTCAACCTGTTTACACATGATTACCATGAATCAGACTTGTAATCTAGCTTAGGGAGAGATACCACCACCAAGGTATAGCTTGGCTTATGCTTGCAAAAGTATAAAAGTTTCAACACTTACTTTTCTAACCAATTCTTTCATTTATGGACACTAAAATTGCTCATTTTTAGAGACTTACCATTTAACAATGCTCCTTTTGACAAGACAGGAATTAAGAAAATTCAAAACAAAAATAAGGCAAGTGGCATTGTGCCTTTTAACTTTTAGGGCTTTGTAGATAGCACACATTTTTTTTTGTTTGGTCAGACCACTAGTCCCTGTTCGCACCGGGCCGGCCCAATTAAGGGGCAAAGTGCTGGCCAGATTAGTTTTTCCATACAAGAGGGGGTTCGAATTCCCGACCTCTCTTAAGGGACACGGGTGCATGGCCACTCACGCCAACCAAGCTGGCTGATATAGCACACATTTTCTTTCTTTCCAAATTCAAAATAAACCATAGTGGATAAGAGAAAATACAAGAATTGAATTTTACAAGTGTCCATCTTAACACAATTCCCTGTTATGCAAAATAAAATTTCTGCCCCTTTCTATTTGCTTCTTTTTTCTTTTTTCTTTTGCCTAAAAATTACAATCATATTTTTGCAGGCTCAGACCCCCTTATATTGGCTTATTCAACAGGAATCTTTAACATTAGGATCCTGATCAGTATATTTAAATTCAAGCATGACAACAAGGTCTATTAAATCAACTGAACTGAGCATTAATGCTAATCTAGTTAACTAGTTGGGATACGGCTAATATACACGGGGGGGTCCATAGAAACTTGATAAACTAGGAAACACACTCAACAACCAAAAGTCATTTGAGTCCTCTCTTAGTGCCCAGTTCTATTCACTAGGGTTCCGAATCTTAGTATAGAACAGAATGGCTACCTTGACTACACTTCAGCACTGAGGAAATAAAGGCAATGAAATAAAATAAAAATTCCCAACACACTTTCACAAAGGGAGTCGAGAAAGTCCATTCATCATTTGTTCATTTTAAGAAAGGAATAACCTTAGGTAGCAGAGAGCATATTGAGGACGCCATTGCCTGCATCACATCAACAGTTGAACAAATAGCATCTTTAATCTTTTGAATATCTGCCTGCAAATGGATAAAATCAAGGAAGAATTAGTTTCTCGTATGTCCTTTTTTGAGATTATTGGCATGGCAGGAATTCAAGATGTAAAATTCCTTTGACAAAAGCACAAAGAGAAAAAAACAAAAACTATACCCTAGCACCACTAACAACCGGTAGGCGTATAGTGCTAGCCTCCAGAGCGCATATAGCAGCTGACAAGGAACTGCAGTGCTCTCCATCAATGAGATCCCAACTTTCCAAACAAGGCACCTGTATTCAACACATAGAATACGATCATTAGTAAAGGTCTGCCATGCTAGGAGCATCAATAGAGAAATTCATGCCAATATACCAATCCTTTCTTACATAAAAATAGTCCACTAGTCCATTGAAATGCAGGTTTTTTGTTCCTTTTTAGAAGCAAATTGCATAGAAAGATGTGTTCTTGTAGAATTATTTCAGTTTAGAATTATACATGATCAGAATGATTTTTAATGTGGGAATAAATGGAATAGAAATCAGTCTTACTTGTCGCTTGAAGATGGAATACAACTTCAAATTTTGCTTCAATAAAAGCAGTTCTGTTCTTTTGGATTTAACAGACTGGCGTAACTTCGAAGTGGCCAACAATGCATTGTATAGGTTCCTCTGGTGCAAATAATAAAAAAGTGAGATCAAAGGGAAAGATTAACCATCAAATTGAAGTTAATAAAAAAAAGATACCATTACAAAATGCATCCACCAAATGGTATCTGTTTTGGGTTGCAACCCAAAACATAATCATGCAACTCAAGAGCAACTTGTTACTCTAAAAAGGAAATTTGCTTCACTAAAATAGCTTAATTTAACAACTAGTTATTCCCTCTAATTTATCAAGTTCCAATTTGCAATGGCTTTTCCATACAATAATGAAACTTTAATTTGGTCTAGATTAAGTGTATCATCCAGGTTCCCCATATGTAAAACTTATCATCTGAATCCTCTTTTCCGTTGTGTGAAGGCCATGATTTATCCACCCTCCACCTTATAAAATGGAAACTGGTTAGAGGACAGGCATCAATCACCTGCAACTGCTGCTGCCTGCTGGCCCAAAAACCCCCCACAACCCTCATTATTTTCCTTTGATGTCAAATTTCCACTCCATATTAGTGGCAAACAGCTGATCAGAATTCCCCTAACTACTTAACAGAAATTCTTTTATCATCAAAGCAACTGCTAACATGTACTTCAGGCCTAACAAAGCAACTTCTATATAAATTATGGCAAGTTTTAGAGCTTACCTCTGCCGTTTCTGTTCGCACAAAGCAGGCTACCTCTGCTCTTGCATTGACAAAGCACCATTGCAGGTGCCGATTATACAATAGCCTAAACTCATGTGCATCAGCAACTCGGTTCTCCCCAACCTTCCCTTTCCTGACTTCAGCAGCAAAGCTTAAAATTGAAGGTGGACTACTCAAATTATTAGTCATTGTAGTAACAGAACCATTTCTTGTTCTAGTTGGACTTGGCATCCCCCTTAGTGGAGAATTAGTCGACACAGACAATGCCTTACTTGGAGATGGTGATCTCAGACCACCTCGAAGAGGAGATGAAACTCCTCTACTGGTAGGTGAGGATATTGGCCTGTCATTTAAAATTTTCTTATTACCAATTTGCTTTGAAGGAGACATTGTCTTATATCCATCATTTTTTGATACTGGCGAACTTTGCTCTGGCACCAGCAGAATCCTGTTATTAGCCTCTTGCCAAAACCTTGCTGGCACAACTTTACGGCGCAGACCTCCGATTAAATGAGCTACAGAACCACCTTCCTGCCCACTTGAAGCACTCCCTGAAGAAATACTTTCACTATCTGAAGCTTCAGCATCCACACACATAGGTGTTCCACAGACCAAACTTGAATTAACCTTCCTCTGTGGCTTAACATTGAGAATTTCATCTTTCGATTTGGCCTGAATTTTAACTTGATTACTCTCATGAAATAGTGGAACTCCACCTCTGGATCCAAATTCGGCTCGATCATTACCTAAATCCAAGCTTCGAGTTAAAAAGGTTGAACTTGGCTTTAACCTTCCAGGCCACCTCTGCTGATCACTAGGCTTCGCATTACCAAATCGATCCTTAGCCGGAGACGACTGTACCGTTAGCCTCCTCTCCGGTGTGCCTCTCCTCACACTGCTCAGATTATTCACAGGCTTAGCCTTACTAACTGGCAGCGAGAAGGATTCTCTCTGAAATGAAACTGACAAACTTTTTGTAGACGTCGTTAGCAGCAGCTTCGTCGCTGCAGACATCTCCGCCCTCACCGGCGTAGCCGGCCTACGCCTTTCCGCCGACTGCGGCCGCTTAGCTGAAGCCGAATTCTGAATCGGCGTCACAGCCGGTCTCGCCGTCCTCGTCACTGCCGGCGATTGACTCCGCCTTGACGAAATGGAGTAGGCCGGCGACGAATAGGAACCGGAGGAGTTGGATGATGACGTAGTTGAAGTCGAAACGGTTGATGATGAACTCGACAAGTACCGTGAAGTAACCTCTCTGGATTTCGGCCTTCTCGTAGGTCCATTCGCAGCTTCGGACGGCGACAATGGCTGCCTCTTCGGACTCTGATAATTCACCTTAGGGTTTGGCGTTTTAGTCGTCGTCGACACAGCAGTCACCATTCTACTCGCTCAATCTTCACATCTCTCTCACTGCCTTCCCGTCTCTGAAACCTTAATCTCAAAAAATATATGCAAATTTTAAAGCTCAAATTATTAAACAATTATGAAGTGTATATGAAGAGGATCAAGCATACCATTAAATGAATATATACATACATAAATGTAAAACTGTAGGTATATTCAGAGAGATAGAGGGTAGTTGACTAGTTCTAGAGCGAGAAACGACACCGGAAATATGACCGTTACGCGCGGCCGGCGGAAAAAATACGCGGAGGAGCGAAGGAAGAAAGCGACGGGGTATTGGTGGAGCTGTAGAGGGGCCGTGAGGTTAAGATTCAGGAGTATAACTGTCGTGTGCGGGACAAACGGTAACGGAGTTAAAAATGGTAAAGTTTTCAGAGCCGTTACTGCTGCAGTGCGAAGTGTACCGTCCCGCAAAAAGGTTGCACCCTCACCTGGTAATAACGGGAAACTTAGACCGAAAAGCGTACGGTCGAGAGTAGGGATAAGAATTATACTCGCTTGAATTGGTAAAGTCCTGTAAATTCGGTGGGCGTGCAGGATACGTGGAGGAGAGAGTGCGTAGAGACGAGGGATTGGCATCTGTACGCTACCATGGCGCCTACGAAAAGTGGGAGAGCGATTCAGACCGGTGAAGCCGTGAAGGAGTTAAAGAGAAATGTTTTTTAATATTTTTTTTTAATACTGTGAATCTTCGGAGAGACGTTACGTTAATGACAAACTAAAAACGATACTTTAATCTCGGCTCAGGAAATGTTTGTTTGTTTGACTAGTTTAATTCCTCCAAACGTGCACAACTTTGGAACATAAAATAAGTTTAAGGATATACTTATTGGATCATTAAAACGTTGTGCAGTTGATTAACAAATCCATTAACTCCAAACCCAGCAAAGAAATGATCTATCATTATATACAAGAAAAATACTATTTTTCCTTTATAAGTTCACTTTCAGATATAGTAATAAAAAATATTTATTTTTATTAGATATTAATGAATATAGTCTCTCTTCAATGTCCAGTATAATCACAAAATAAATAATAATCCTTTATATAATAAAGCTATATGGTTTGGGAAATAATTAATGTTACAATTAATGCCACAACATCCTTTATTATATAAAAAAAAAAACACAACATTTAAAAAATAAAATAACTATATATTATATAATCATATAATAAAATAGTTATATATTATATAATTATATAAAAAATGTGTTCAATTAGAATTTAAATTTACACATACAAAATTTGAAATTTGCTTTCCAAATGTAATTATCTTAGTTATTATTCGTATTGTGAAAATTATAATAGATGAAATACAATTAAGAATAAATCAATGTAATTATGTAAATTCTCTCTATAAGTTTATTTGAATATGCACATAATTAGATACTATATTAACCATACAAAATTTTAATTTTAATTTTAATTGTAATTTTGTATTCTATAAAAATAATAAATACTTGACCAATGGAAGCTCAAAAATATTATTATATTAAATAATTTAAAATATTTTAATTTTTTTATTTTTTATTTATATTTATAATAGCATAATTTTTTTTCCGTGCATCACACGGGTGAATTACTAGTAATAATAATATATTAATAGCGAACTTAACGATCATTATACTTTAGTGGTTCCTCTTTCTTCATTATTGTATGATATTTAACATGACATTTGTAAAATCTATCCCGCATTCCATCCATGATGTCTCCTTTCGCCAAAATAAAATCATCTTCCTCACTTAGAGAATATATCATTAGTTTTCTATTAGGCTCTAATTGGCATATGTACTTTAAAGTTAAAAACTTAAAAATTAGTAGTTACTAGTTTATTTTGAAACGTTACATAAAAGCTCTATATATTTTATAGCATATAGAATTTATATCTTGTTTGTACCTTAAAATAAACTATAAATTTTACCAAATAAAGTCATAGCATACACATACTAACAAAATTGATCAACAGGGAAAAAAAAATTAAATTAAGTAAATCCATAAGGAGTTAAGGACAATGGCTTAATAAAGCATTAAATGATGTAAGATAAATAATAGTAATTAAATTGAATATAGCGTTTAATATTTGGAGTACATATGCTTTCAAAAAAATTTTGGAGTACATATTTACACTTGAGATCCACGAAGCCACAATTTAGGAATTGATGATGGAGATTGGAAGGCAAATCAATTCATAATAACACAACTTATAAATGTCAACCTTTACCATTAAAAAAAATCTATGAAACTTAAGGCTAAAGTCATAGAAAATGAATGATATAAATTACAGGTGTGTTTTAATTAGTGAATTATATTGATTTACATGTCTCCAAATGTGAATCATGTATTTATTAATAACATAAAATGTATAAGCTTATTTTGAATTGATTAATTAATTTAGTGGTAAGTCAAGACATAACAACATAACTTAATTGAATTAGCAGAGTTATTAGCGCCAACTAATCAATTATAACTGCCGCTTTAGGCTGACCAACTTTTCTTCAAGCTTTTGAAAGTGAAAATGGTGGTAACGTAGCAAGCAATAGCTGTACTATGTCACTTTCTCTTTCATTATATTAGCTTACTTCCACCTAAAACAACCAATACAAAACTGTTTTACACTCAACCTAAATTAATTGCCTTCAATTTTGTTCATTATTATTGTTATTATTATTAATATCACCATAATTTAAGAGATTTATTATAATTATAATCATTTTTTTAGGCGACGAAAACTTGATTTTTTTTTAATGACTACAATTTAACATATTTATAATAATTGTTCAACATAATATGCCAACCCTCGACAAAGACTTAAAAGTTAATCACACTTACAAATATATTACTCTACATCAAATTACCAATAATGCATGTGTGTTTCGAAGGACCACATCAAAATATTCATTCCTTCTATAGCAAGTAATTTTAATCAACAAATTCATACACATAACTGTAACGATACATACTAATAATGTAGGATTTAATAAGCCCGCATGGGTAGTTCAACTGGTCATAGAGGTGAAACTTTGGAAGAATGACTAGGGATCGAGTCTCACTAGCGGCAGTGTGGGAGCAATCTCTCAAAGTTCATGTTCAGTTGGGTGTGGGGGGCCCTTAGGGTTGTACCCTAAAAGAATGACTGAGTGGAGGAACATAATTCTCAAACCACAAATTAAAGCCATGTGTTTGATTCTTGATAAAATACTATCGGTCAAGCCCGTCACACATGGTATATTCTTATTACAATTTAGATCATTATATTTCATGTGTGAGGTTTGTGTCCTCTCTTGTATGATTCTGGTATAGTTTGTGTCTTATTACATAAGAATGAGATTTATATAATTCACCTTCTCAATAGTGTATAAACAAAATTTCATCCTCCAAAATACAATTAATCAAAACATTGGCCTATAATATTGGGACTTCTATATATCGTAACAAATAATTATGCATCAATGTAATTAATATTAATTAAGAAGCTAGGGAAACCCCAATTATAGTTTCTTGTGTTTTCAATCATATTCCAACACGCTTTTTAAGCCTTTCCGTCCAAGAATGGGAGTAAGAGATGGGGAATATGAACCCACCATTTTAAAGAGGCATGATGATGATGACTTGGCTAACTAGCTTTGTCAAATTAATTAAAGCAACAGTTCATCACGGTTGTTGGTAATCATTTTAATTTTCTCCCAAGTGTAAATAATAAATACATATCATTATATCATATGATGCACGAAAACTTTTAAGAGAGGAACTATTTTCTCATTTTAAATACGTTTTTTTTTTTCATAAGTTTATGTATATTTACATGACCATAGAAGGTTTTAAGGTTGTTTTATATGACTATAAAGAAATTAAAACACCATTGCTAAATATGTGATGTTTCGATCACCGAAAAAGCAGCTGAAAAAGTATAATAATTTTTTAAATTGTTCTAATAATATTTGTTTTTAAATCTAGTGAAAATTTCCGCGATCACCTCCCTAGCTAAGGACGTTTGTGAATGCCAAAAGTACACCAGAACACCCGTTTCTAATAAAAATTATGGATTTCTGACCACTTTTGAGTGATCGAAAATTTAATGTTTAATTTTTAAGAAATACACTTTTTAAAATGAAAAATATTTACAAATACTACGTCTGATCTTTATATATATATATATATATATATATATATATATATATATATATATATATATATATATATATATATTACACCTTTGATTTTTTTTTAATATTATCTCTTACACTTTCTTTTAATTTGTTCTCTATTTTGTACTACTTAAATTATATTAAGGAAAAAGATAATCACTTCACTCAATCCCCCATATATTAATGAAACAATTTATGTACAACCTAATTTGACACAAATATCAGAGCAAAGGAACTGTTGCATTGCCAAGAGAAAAAGAAAAGGGGTGGAGATATGATAGAGATGGAGAAAACTGAAAACCAACTTTCCAGCCTAAAGGAGAAGGCACATAGTACATGGAGGATATCATGTCACTCATATGCTATGTAAGCCCACACATTATAAATATTGCTTGGTGGTCACATTAATTATTAGTCCCCTACCCCCCTCCCACTCCATCACTTTAATTTCTTTCTGGCTTGCTTTTCCACCCCATTAATCCCCCATTGCTTTGCTTTTTCTATCGTCTATGTCTTGCTGGTCTTATGGCTTCATGGCCCCACGTTTAATAACTTCTCTCGCTATTTCTTTAATATTTTAGTATAGTTTTCACGAGTTATATCGATTAATTTGAGATTAGAGTAACTGTTTTATTGATATGATCAAAGAGATCAATTTTGTAATAATAATAATAATAATAATAATAATAATAATAATAACAACGGCAAAATATGAAGAATAAAGTCAAATGTGGAGTAGATTTGTATTTAATGAGTTAGATTTGTAAAGAATAAAGTCAGATGTGGAGTACGTTTGCATTAAATGTTTACAACAAGAATTGTAAATCTCTAGGCACACAAATCTACGCTTAAATAGGCAAACCCTTTGCATGGTAAGATATCTCATCATCCCATTAGACAGCAAAACTTAGCGTAACAAAGTATCTTAGAGAGATAGAGAGTTATATTATAACTTTTATTATTGTAATATTCTTTTGCCAATATAGAAAATTCTCTTATATATAGGCAATTCTTCTAAATTTTACACTAAAAATATCCTCAATATTAATTTTAGCCCAATTTACTATTGTAATTAGGTGTTGACACAGAACAGATCAATAATTAAACTTGAAAATGGCGTTTAGTTTTTACCATATGTGTTATAAACTGACAAATAAAATCCCAGACAAGAAAACGAAAACGACCCAAACAAAATCAACCACGACATTACGACGTACGGCATCATGGTACAAGGTCATAACATATGTATAAGGCTATAAGCTGCTAATGATTTTTTTTTTTTTTTAATTAAGAAAACACACCATTACTTAGGCATGTACTGATAAATCCAGTAACTCTAGTTAATAAAAAGACATGCATAAATAAATGAACTAGTCTATATTGTAAATAACTAACAGGTTTAAATCAACAAGATTGCAAA